CCGGGACATTGAGCTCATCTGCCAGGAACATGAGAGCGAGAACAGCCCTGTTATCTCAGGCATCATTGGCATTCTCTATGCCACTGAGGTGAGCTCGGCCTTCACCTACAAATGTCCCAGGCCCTCGGGGCCCTCCCCTCTCCTGGCCGGGCCCTCGGGCCAGAAGAGAACATAGACTGATGAGGGGAGCAGGGTGACATGAGCAGCCCAGGAGGACATAGAGCCTTAGCAGGAACAGAGGACTGTTCCAAGGACTGCCCCTTGTCCCAAGACCCCTAAGTGCACGCCCTCAGCCTGTCTCACCTATTCCTCTTCCTCCCGCTCTCCAGGAAGGCTTTGCACCCCCGGAGGACGATGAGATTGAGGAACACCAACAAGAAGACCAGGACGAGTACTGAGGGCAGCTCCAGCCCTGGCTGACTGCACGACTTCCCCGTGCCTCCCCGCCCCGCCCCCGCCCCCACATTATAATCCTTTCCTTACAGCCAGTCGGCCGGGTGCTTTGTGTCAGTGCCGCAGCATGGGGAAGCCAGGCCTGCAGGGCTCGGGGCGTGGGGCAGGTGAGCCGGCAGAGGCCCCGTCCTCCTGTGGCACTGGCCCAGCGGGCAGGACCCCTGCCCACTCCCCACCCCTATTTATTTCCGTTGTCTCTATGCTGTGTCGGCCAACACTTCCCAGGGTGCTGCTGCCACCCACCCAGCCAGCCACCTGTTCCCCTGACAGCCAGCAGCTGTATATTTGACAAAGTCATTGGTATATTTTTACTTACTGGGTTTTCCTTGCACTTTACCTGTTCTTTCCCAGGACTGACAGCACGGGCTTCGGGGCAGTGTGCCTGGCTGGGCCTCCCTCCCCTGTTGCGGGGGCCATTGCAGGACTCACCAATTATTTATTTTGTCTTCGGACTGCCCAGTAGTTGAGGAGAAAACTGATGTCAGGAGAGGGATAGGGGGACTGAGGAGGGGGCGCCTTAGGCCCCGGTGGTCAGGGAGAGGGAGGGGAACATGCAAGGGATGAGAATGACTTCCTGGCACCAGGCTTGCCCACCCTCAGCCCCTGCCCCAGCACCACAGCCCAGCACTGCCCCGAGGCCCCCAGCCACTCCCTCCTGCAGCTTAGTTCATACCACACAGACTTTGCCTGGATCCTTCTGTGCGTCTGCCTCCCATCGCCCGCCTCCCCAGCCCCTGCCCCTTGGGCCACCCAGCCTGCATATGTGTTCTCTTTTATTTAAATAAACTTGTGTGGTAAAAGTCCATACCATGTCTCCCTCAAGTGAGCCACAGCCTGGGTCTCCGTGCTTTTCTCCTCTTGAGCGCCCCCTCTCCAGAGGCCATGGCCCACAGCACTGCTGCCACCACTCTCTGGTCCAGAAGCCGCTATTGGTGCTTGGCCTCCGAGCCCTGCTGTGACTCCCAACACTGGTGCGAGGCCTCTAAGAGAAAGCCTGGAGGCCCAACCCCAATCACTGAGGAGGAGTAAAGTTCAAGGCCTCGACTGTGATGATGGGCAGCCCAGCAAAGCCACTGGGCAACAGGATAGCCTGGCCAAGAAGTGCTTTAAGTTGCATGGTGCCTCTCACCCCTTGGCAAAGCTCACGCACCTCTCAACAGAGATCCATCTGGGGACAGGTCTCGTGACAGAGCAAGCCTTGGGCAGTCACAAAGAGCATGTGGCCCCGAATGCTGAGGCCCGAGAGAACAGCAGTGTCCGAGCGGTTCCTTCTCCAAATCAAGGCTAGTGAGAAGGGAGAGTCAGGAACCCTTTCACATTGTCCACACAGTCCTTCCTCCCTCCCTAGTGCATGAGCAGGCAATGGACCATAATAACCGAGGTCCTGCAAACCCAACGGGGACCCATGTGGGTACAGCGTCAAACAGAGCCTTGGTAGTCATGTAGGCCAGCCCCTCATTTGCTGAAGGGACTGAGGGGTAGAAGTCATTCACTTACTTACCCAGCAAGTCTTGAGTGACAAGACTTACTTGTTGAAGGTTGTAAAAACCTGGACTAATAGTATTCAGACCTACTGACTCATGGTTCAGTGCTCACTTCCAAAGATCACAGAGGTGTCTCTAGAATGTTCCTCTAGCTTCAGGCTGACCTAGTGTTTCAGAGTTTCTGAGATGCCAGATGTTTCCTCATTCTTCTGAGTATGACCAAGCTGGGGTTGTGTTTCTTCTGGAACTCTGCCTTTTTCTAATGACTCCACATGCAAGCTTTCAATAAGCAGTTTGTGTCTGTTTACTCTTCATCCACATCATCTCCTTCATTTCACTCCCACTCCAACATAGACACTTCTAACCTTATTCTAGTTCTGTTTTTCTTCTCCAACAATTCCTTGCCTTTTATTTCTCTTTATGCCTAATTTTAAAATACTTTTCCTCCACAATTCCAGGATAGGTACTATAAAAGGATAAGATGGTGGTTCTTCGTTGCCAAGTGTTCAACCCAGGCCAAGACCTCATCCTGCTGGTAAAGTGGTGTGTTAGGCAGAATAATAATGGCTCCCCTCAAAGAGGTCCACCTCATAAATCCCAGAACCGGTGAATATGTTAGGTTACACGGGAGACGGGAATTAAAGTTGCAGATGGAATTATATTGCCATTTGGTTGATCTTAAAGTAGGGAAAAGTTATCCAGGGGGGCCCAATGGAATCACAAATGTCCATAAAAGCAAAAGTGGGAGTGGACAGGAGGAGAGAAAACCAGAATGATGCCACATGAGTGCAAAAGACTCCAACTGGTCTTGCTGGTTTTGAAGCTGGAAGAGGGCCTTGCATCAGGGAATGTGGGCAGCCTCTAGATGCTAGGAAAGGCAAGGAATCAGATCTCCCTCAGAGCCTCCAGAAAGGAACACAGCGCTAGTGACACCATTTTATTCCAGTGAGACCCATGTCAACTTCCACATCCACCTTCCAGAACAATATAATAACAAATTCATGTTGCTTAAGCCATCCAATTTATGGCAATTTGTTACAGTAGCAAAAGAAAACTAGTATCCTGGGTCAAACTGTGTTTCAGTGAGCTCACCCTTCTTGCCCCCATTGCTAGACACCCACCTGTTCTCCTTGACCCAATGTGCCCAAGCCCAAGCCCAAACCCCTGTGCCCAAGCCCACCCCCTGCCAGCTATTGTCTAAGACTGTTCTTCCAAAACCAAGAGCTCAAGGATGTAAAACCACAGCCTCCTTTCCCACCTCTTCCCAGTACCTCACACTCAGTGTTACCCTGGATAGCAACTGTAATTTCCTGTTTACACATTTGTCTCCCACACAGGCTTTGAGTTCCTCACAGTGTGAGATGCTCAGGTAGAGAAGAGGCTTAGAAAATGCTGCTGGATAAGTAAGTGAATGACATCTATCCTTTAGATGCCCAGTTGCATCAGATGATTTGCAGATTATTCCAAGGAAAGACAGAAGAGAATGCCCTTCCCCACCAAAATCAGGGTCTCTTCAGTGGCCATATTTGCAACAGAGAAGGGGTCAACCAAAGAGGGGATGCAGTTGTTGGACTCTGAGTAGAGCTACACCAATGACCTGGAAAATGATCAACTCAAGCACAATCTTGGCAAAAGTGTTCCATCTCAGAGCTCCCTGAGACAGTCAGTCATGATCAGGACTGAGTGGCTGGAGGACAGGCAGGAGGGGGACGCAAGAGTTGGTCATCTGACTTCTGTCATTCCCCTTCCCCACTCATCTTTCTCATAGCCCCACTTATCTTTTCAAAGCAGTGGATCATGCCACTTTCCCACTAGGATCTGGAGAATACCGACCCAATTTTGCAAGGTCAAGCTCCTGGAATCTGGGCTCAAATCCCTTCCCAACCTCATCTCCTCCATTAACCCATTAAGAACCACCACAGTGAACTATTCCCAGCTCCCCAGCCTTGCTTTGTCATGTTCTACAACTAGGTGTTTGCTTAAATGAATAAATCCACATAACCATTCTCCCTACCTGTCCTTCTTCCCAACCAATGAAAATTCTTCTATTCCTCAGGATTCCTCTCAAATGCCACCTCCTTCAGGAAGCCTTCTCTAATTTCAGTCCTGAGGAATTTATCATTCCCTAAGCTGTTGATCATGAGGGAATTTGGACTCTATTAGTTCTTACTGTGAGGCTGGCCTATGTCATACCTTGGTATGGCAGATATGAATCTCATCCTCAATGTAGGTGTACAGGAATTGCACATCTCCCCTTGCTTGTGATAAATCACTTTCACCTTTCCTCATCCTCCCCTGCTGGGATAATTCAAGTTTCTGAGGTCTCACATGATACTGCAGCAAGGTGGAAGGTAGCCCGGCGAAGTGACAGTCTGAGCAGTCACCTGTTTGAGTAGGTCTTGGGCCTGGGGCTCCTGATCACTTCCCTGCCACACAAACTCCTTCACTAGGAGCCAGAACTGTCTCTCTCCCCTTTCCTGGAAGGGAAAAACCAGTCCCGGCTGTCCCAGACTTTTTCTGCCTCCTATCAGGACCCTCCCCTTCCTGCCCTCCAAACTCTGCCTCTTCCCTTGAGCGCTCTCCTCTTCCTTGTTCTTTCACAATAAATTTTTATAGCCCAATAAACCCAAAGTTAATCACTAGCAACAGAAAAACTAGCACTTTTGTAGAAGGAAGAAAGCATTCAATATCCAAACGCTCCCAGTGAGTGGGAACTATTTCCTTACATCCTTCCAGCACTACTAGAAAGGAAACAAAAAGCCCTAGCAGTTAAATTTCCACCAAGCCACCCCGTGCAATGGCCTTCACACAACAGGTGCCCAGTAAAAGTTTTCTGATTTGAACAGCCCCTCATCTCAACATCTTAAGAGCCTGGAGTTTGCTAAGAAGGAGCCCCAACCCCTCGCGGAGGAGACCCTGGCGAAGCCGAGAGACTACAAGTCCCAGGCTGCCTTGCGGGCGGCGTCAGCGCCGCGTGGCCCCGCGAGGAGACGTGGCAGAGCGAGGCGCGGCCACACGGGACCGGAAAGCCCAGGGAGGTGGCCGTGGCGGGAGGGTCGGAGCCATGGCGGGCAGGACTGCGGGTGTGGGGCGCTGGGAGGTGGTGAAGAAGGGGCGGCGGCCCGGGGCCGGCGGCCGAGGTAAAGGCGGCGGAGGCGACCGCCGGGCGCTCGGGGAGGCGAACGGAGTGTGGAAATACGACCTGACCCGTGAGTACCGCCCGGCCCGCCGCTCGCCGCCGCCGGCCCCGGGCCTGCCCTTGCAGGGTGGCGGCGCCCACAGGGAAGAAGCACCCCGGCTCCTCGAGGCGTGAGCTGCCCGCGGCTCAGCACCTCCCAGTTGAGCAGCGCGACCCTTGCGGTGTGTTTTAAGCCCCACCGGAGGTAGCCTGCGGGAGGTCATGGCTGGTAAACTGAGGCCCGGGGAACTGGGATGCCTTGTCTAGAGTCGCATGGCAGAGGGGACTGGGATTCCGGTCTTGCACGCTCAGCTCATTGCACGCGCGCCCACACACACACACACACACACGCTCACACTCTACCAGCTGTTCCCGGCCCAAGCCCTGTCCCTGGGCAGGTGGCAGAGCTGAAAAGAGCCATCCTGGTCCCTTATATTTGGTGCCTCCTTAAGTTACCGCACATGGGGCGGGGCAGGCGCGGACAGTAGGCCCAGAGGGCAAATGAGCCACCCTCCCACCCCTCCCCACCCTCGCCCCCAATCATTGTTTCCTCAGTCTCCCGGAGGACTGAAGAAAGCTTACCACTTGTTGATTATACAGTTGTCACATCTGAATCATGAGGAATTGGGGTAGAACCAAGATGGGAAAATCCTGACCTCCCGACTAGTACAGGCTCACCAAAGCAGCCTGCTCTGTGTATCTGACCCCACCACTAATTCTCACAGACTCAGATTTATCTTATAAAAAAAAGTCTCATGCCAATGAAAGAGCCCATGAACTCAAGAGCTGTGATGAGGGAAAGAAGCAACCAGGAGGACTCCCTGGATTGCTGCTTAAGGAGGGCAGCAAGAAGGGGCTTTGAGGCAGGCTCCTTTCTGGAGATGAATTTGGGTGACATTGTAGGAGAAGGACTCACTTGTCACTGTGAGGTGCTTCTGACTCAAGGATGGCCTTCCTTTCTCTTGCCTGTTATCATCCAGCTCCAATCCAGACTACAAGCACCCTCTATGAGCGGGGCTTTGAGAAAATCATGAAACGGCAGAATAAGGAGCAGGTTCCACCCCCTGCTGTGGAGTCTAAGAAACCAATGAACAAGAAGCCAGCTAAGAAAGCAACGACCCTCACCAACCAAAAGCAGAAACAGGGCCGCTTCCGCAGCCTGGAAGAGGCAATGAAAGCTGTGAGTGTGCCTAAACTTTAGGCGGGGAAAGGACAAGGACTTGGGGTATAGAGATGAAGGGGGGAGCCACAGCTGCAGGAACCGTGGAATTTGGGACACTTGCTTGACAGGAGGCATTCAGGAAAGGCTGGAGACCCCAAGGCACTTACGATGGAAAGGAAATATGTAGTTTATAGGGAAATTGATTAGTGAGAAGAACCCCAGGAATACCAGGAGGGGTTAGAGAAATCTCTTGTAGTTCTCGCCCCATGGAAGCAGTGATCTTTCGTTTTTCCATTTTATCCTCTGTTTTTTCCTTGAAGCTATGAAAGGCCTAAAAGTAGTGGGCTTTAAGATCAGCAATTCCAGCTACCTTGTATCTTCAAAGATCTGGATGCAGCAACATTGTGGCATTCCACTGCTTATGTTTAAAAGCAGAAGCCCTTTATTCTTCCAACCTCCTCCTAGTTCAGCCATTTTCCCACTGTCCTGTTGCCCTACACTCACAACTCACCCACAACTTACCATGAGGGGAACTGTGTCCCTGGCAGCTGGACGTGGCAGCTCTGCAGAAGGAACTGGACAAGAGCCAAAGTGTGTTCCCTGGGAACCCGTCGGTGTGGTTGAAGGACCTGGCCAGTTATCTCAACTACAAGCTTCAAGCACCTCTAAGTGAACCCACACTAAGCCAGCATCCTCATGGTTAGTTCTTCCAACTCCCTCAGACAAGTTCAAGAAAATTCTGAAAGGGCTGTGGATGAGCACCTTAGTGACAGAGCCCAGGACCCCCACTGTTGTGCTGTCCATGGGTGATTGGAGCTGCTTTCATATCGTGGCTGTGAACATTTCTGGGCCTCATTGGGATGGGGAGGATGCCACCCTCAGTGCAGGGATCTCCACTGGCCACCTTCAGAGAGAGGCTCTCAGCTGGCAGGGGCGTCTGTTCCTAGTGCTGACGTGCAGCCTGTTGGCCGCAGACTATCCCTACAGCCTGGTGAGCCGGGAACTGCGTGGGATCATCCGCGGGCTCCTGGCGAAGGCAGCTGGGTCTCTGGAGCTCTTTTTTGACCACTGTCTCTTCACCATGCTGCAAGAGCTGGATAAGACACCAGGTGAGAGAGTCTGAGAGATAGCCCAGCCCCAACTTGTGAGCCCCTCTCTTTTTCCTGCTCAGAGTGGCTGGGTAGGTCTGTCTCCAGCAGAGAAATGTGCTAATCCTGACAGTACATTTTGAAAAGGGAGGAGGAGGTTAGGACTCACTGGGCCTGGGTTTTGGGCTCCCAGCTGCCAGAAGGGGGTTTCAGGTTTTCTGATAACACATATCTCTCCAGGGGAGTCACTTCATGGTTACCGCATCTGTATCCAGGCAATTCTGCAAGACAAGCCCAAGATTGCCACCATGAACCTAGGCAAGGTGAGCTCAGGGTGGTGCTAAAGATACCAGGAACCTAGAAGTAGGAGGGCGATGCAGAATCTCTGCCGATAGGTATGGGTCTTCTGCTAAGAGTTGGTGGAAGTCCCAGTAAGTCCAGTATTAATAGGTAGCACTATTAGCACTTACTGTCTGTCTCTGCTTTGTATACATATGGGGCAGATGCTGCTGTTATTCCCATTTATACATAAGAAGATTGAGTCAGAGGGGTTCAGTAACTTACCTTCAGTCGGTCAACCAGTAAGTGGCAAGTATGGGTGAAGCCACATTCTGGTGCCAGAGCCATCCTCTGAATCACTACCACTCCACTTCCCCTTGGCATGCCCCTCCTCTCCTAGTTGACGTCTCTCTTCCTGCCAGGCTTTGGGGATGTTTCTGGTATTTGGCCCTAGCCAAACCTGCCTCTCCGCCCATCTCCTCAGTTCCTAGAACTGCTGAGGTCCCACCAGAGCCGACCGCCAAAGTGTCTGACCATCATGTGGGCCCTGGGTCAAGCAGGTTTTACCAACCTCACCGAGGGACTGAAAGGTAATAAGTACATGGGAGAAGAAAGAGAAAAGGTCTTGGAGCCAGGGAGCTCCTCTTTAATGTCCCCAGGGCATCCAAGCCTGAGGTGTCCTCCCTGACCTTTGTCTCTGCAGTGTGGCTGGGGATCATGCTGCCTGTGTTGGGCATTAAGTCTCTGTCTCCCTATGCCATTGCGTATCTGGATCGACTGCTCCTGTAAGTCATGGGGGAACAGCAGGGGAAGGCGTGGGTGTCTACAGGTCACTATCTCAAAAACTGGGATGCTGTGATTCTGATCTCCATAGAAGGGAGGAAAATCAGGACCCAGCTTCTCCCAACCCAGAATGGGATGCTGAAGAGGAAAGGGAGGGAGTCATTAAGAAATGGGGGTAGCATTGTGTTCACCCCCTTTTTCCTGTTATTGGTCTTAGCTGGGATCATAGCCTGAGTGGTAAACTCCCACAAGCCTGTTTATTCCTTTCCCCATAGGATGCACCCCAACCTCACCAAAGGCTTTGGCATGATTGGCCCCAAGGACTTATTCCCACTTCTGGACTTCGCCTATATGCCCAACAACTCCCTGACACCCAGGTAGGGCTGCCCTGGGGCACACCTGCTGGGAGGGATCTAAGTGGAGGATCAGGAACAGGCAGTATATTCCTTTTCCTTCTCCTCCAGCCACCCTAGATCCTAGGTTCTCAACCTGCAAGTTTGAGGGCTTAACCCCCTGAAATCATGTGGCCCCTTGAATGTGTTGGCATATGGGCCTTTACCTGGCAAGAGGATCCATGACTTTCAGTAGATTTCCAAGCTGTCTGTGGTTCAGAGCATCACCAGGCTCTTAGTGACCTCCTCCCTGGCATAGGATATGGATGCGTAGGGCAGACAAAGGGGACATACCACACGGCTCCGTTTAGAGCTGTGCCTGGCTTCCTCACCCCCACCCTAGCCTGCAGGAGCAGCTGTGTCAGCTCTACCCGAGACTGAAGGTGCTGGCATTGGGCGCGAAGCCGGAATCCACCCTGCATACCTACTTCCCCTCCTTCCTGTCCAGAGCCACCCCTAACTGCCCCCCTGAGATGAAGAAAGAGGTGAGGAGATGATGGGAGGCTCCTTCCTTCCCAAGGCTCTGCTACAGATGCCCCTGTCTGCTGACGGAAGGCCCTGTCTACCCGGGCTCCCCTGAACTCACTCCTGACAGCTGCATGCCCCATTCCCTCATGTTCTGCCCTCAGAAGAACAGTGCTGAACAGATGGCACACTCAGGTCTGGCTGGTCTCTGATGTCCAGCCCCTTGTCGGCAAGTGGTCTTCCAGCTCAGGCTGTAGCTGGGGAGTGGTACCCTTCCCCTTGTGCCTCTCAGGAATTTCTGGGATCTCCCCCCTTTAGGGTAGAGGGGTGGCCTCAGGAGGCAGGTGGCCCCGTGCCCCAGCAGGCTCTTCCTTCTTCTGTTCCCTGTGCAGCTCCTGAGCAGCCTGACTGAGTGCCTAACGGTGGACCCCCTCAGCGCTAGCGTCTGGCGGCAGCTATACCCCAAGCACCTGTCACAGTCCAGGCAGGTGGGGGATGGGAGGGTCACCCACCTCTCTCCTGTCCCTATTGTTTGGGCTCATACCTCAAGTTGAGTGGGCACATTGCTTGGAGGCCTCTAGGAAGCAAGTTCTTCCTCAGAGTGGAAGGTGGGATGGAGAGTCTCAACTTGAAGGGGCCGATGAAGGTAAGAGGGGTCAAGTGGGCCCCCTGATTGGAAGGGATTGTGCTTTTCCCCACAGCCTGCTGCTGGAGCACTTGCTCAAGTCCTGGGAGCAGATTCCCAAGAAGGTGAGCTGGGAGGGTATGGCAGGTTGAGTCTTGCCTGGGTTCTGAGTTTGTACCCTTCGGCCATGTTCCCCCCTCCCCTGAGAAGGTGTTCTGTTTTTGTATTTGGCATGGAAAATAAAATAAGGCAGGGTGGAGGCTCAGAACTCCCTATGGGTCAAATCTTACATTCTCAACCCACTCTTTTTACCCTACAGACACAGAAATCTTTGCAAGAAACCATTCAGTCCTTCAAGCTTACCAACCAGGAACTGCTGAGGAAGGGTAACTATAAGAACCAGGATGTCGTCACCTGTGATATGGCCTGCAAGGTAACGGCGCCCAGCCCTCCCCTGCCCACACACTGTCCTGCATCTGTCTCAGTACACCCTGGGTTGGGCCTGGATCCCATCCCTGCCCCACCTGTCTCGGGAATACCCTCTTCTTCTGGAGTAATAGAAGGCTTGATCTTCCTGGAAGGCGTAGCTTGAGGCCTGCCTTAAGAGGCAAAGACTAGCCCTTCCCCCTTATGACCATTCCTCCCTGACCCCTCTCTGCCTAGGGTCTACTAGAGCAGGCCCGGGGCTTCCAGCTGCCCTGGACAAGGCTACTTCTGTTGGTGCTGGTCTTTGCCATAGGTTTCCTGTGCCATGACGTCCGGTCACACAGCTCTTTCCAGGGTAAGCAGGGATCGTAGGTGAGGAAAGTAACATGGGGGTCTGGCATAGAGCTTTGTGCAGCATCCCCCACCCCCATGCCCACAGCTTTGCCCTGATACTGAAGCCAAACATTTTGCAGACAAACTTCTCTGTCCACTGCGTTAGCACCCCCACTTCAGGTCAGTCTAGTGCTTTGTGGTATATTAATACTCGTATATTCAGGCCTCCCTGGTGGTGCAAGGGTTAAGACACAACCTATGAAGCTGTCCGCAGCCACTGCAGCACAAGTTCGCTCCCCCACCAGGGAGCTACCCACATGGCGCAGCAGACCTCTCCTGACTCACCCGCTGCTCCCCTCGGCAGTGTATTTCAGTAGATCCGCCTGTTCTGCTCCCCACTCTGTCTCTGGTGAATCCTCTGACCCCTCTGGCCTGTACCCCAATCCTCTCACATCTCTGGCCTGTAACCCAATTCTTGTATACATAAATAAATAAATTTTTAAATAAACAAACAAATAAATAAATAAATACTCATAGATTCATGGTCTCGTCTGAGTAGCTGTTAACTCCTTTTTAATTTCCGAGGAAATTGAGGATCAGAAAGTTTTGACCGTTAGCTTAAGATCACGGCTGATAGGTAGAAGGGCAGACCCTCAAACCCAGGGCTTCCTGAGACCTAAGACCAGGGCTCTCCCTAGGCCCGCCGTCCTCCAAACATGCTTTAGAGCAGACTAGAGCCACCTCTGCAGCCTATGGGCACACTGAGTGCTCACCAGAGGTCCCCTTTACTCAGCCTCCCTCTCTGGCCGGTTGCTTCAATCATCTGGTTTCTTGCCTGCCAGCCAACAAGTATGTGCCAAGCTCTACTCCTACAGCCTGCAAGGCTACAGGTGAGCACTTCCCGGGGATGGGGTGGGGAGCAGAGGAGGGTGTGCAGGGTGGTGACTGCACTGCACTGACCATCAGTGAGCAGTGGCTGTGGTTTTCTTTTCCCAAGGCTTCCCTTCCCCCAGCTCTTCCTGGGGAGCCGAGCTTTCTGAGGAAACTCATTGCCCTCCTCCTCCCCCCTCTTCTGCAGCTGGCTAGAGGAAACATTGCCGGCCTGGGGCTCACAACTGCTGACGGTGATGAGGCCCAGCTTGCAGATGGTCTGGGACTGCACTAATGCCATGTTCAGCTTCCTTTCTGCCCACTTTGCCTCCCTCCTAGCCTGGTTGGGGAACATCATCACCAGCCTCTCCCAGAGGGTAAGCCAGTGGCAACCTGGTGTCCCTGGGACTGATTTCTTGGGAAGGCGCAGGCGTGTGTGGACTGGGTCCTCAGGGCCGCCATGCATTCCCCAGCACTCCAACCCCGTTCATTCTCCACGGTCCAGCTACAGACCCAGCTCCCCGATGGCCTGAACCAGCTCCTCCATTCTCTGCGGGAGCTGCTCCTGCTTCTCTATCAGAACGTGCTGCTGCCGTTGTGGCACGTGCTGCTGGAGGCCCTGGCCCTGGCCCAGGAGCACTGCCACGATGTGTGCGGGTAAGACCCCACCCTGGCTCCGTGCCCTTTCCCCAGGGACAAGGCCCCCGTGTTCAAGGTCTCCCTCTGCCTTGCCTGCCCTCGTTCATCCCTTGGCCCCTCCAGGATGCAGGTTTGGTCTGAGCCGCAGCCCTGTGACTTGGTACAGATGCACACCACTCACTGCTCTGCTTTCTCCTTAGAGGTGAGGTAACCTGGGACTGCGTGAAGACACAGTTCGGCGAGGCTGCCCGCTGGACTTGGCTCCGCCTACAGGACGCCACAGTGGCTTTCTTGGACTGGGCAATTTCCTTGATTTCCCAGCAGTAGGCCCTGCCTCCCACAACTGGATTTTGTCCGGGGCAGGTCCTCTGAGACTGCTGGGTCGGTAGAGGGTGCCATTCTGCATGGGGTCTTTTTTATTTGGTGCCTAAGTTTCGTCTCCTAGGCAAGTGGCCAGTTGCCTCTGCCCCAGTTCTTCCATCTTTGGTGAAGACCAAGCCCAGAGGTACCCCACCTCCTACCCATGATTCCACTGGACACTGCTCTGGCCCTGTTGCACATCGCCCTCAGCTCTGTCCTTGGGGTGGTAGTCTCTCTCACCTCCCCTTGTCTCCAGCTCTCCACTTCCTTCCATCTCATTCCTAAAACCCCTACAGCTCATTTCCAAAAAGGTGACTCCAGCAAGCAACTGCTACGTTCTTCTGATGAGCCACAGCAGAATAAAGGAAGGAACTTCCAGAAGAATATTATACCACAGTCGGCAGTAGCAGCTTCACACCTACCCACAGCCTGGGTGTGGCTGTCAGCGGACTCGGAGGCCTGGGTAGAAAGGCCTCACCTCCAAATGTCCAACTTAGTTCCTTCAAGGACCTAATTCCTCACTGTCTATTCCCCTTCAGTGCTGGGGGGTGGGGGAACAGCTCTGCCTCAAGGGTTAGCTTCTCTCTGCTGACCACTCCTACTCTCTTTCTGGAGAACAGAGCCCAGGTGGTTGTGTGCTTCTGATCCAGGGAACCTTCCAGTAACATGTTGAGACGGTGTTCAGCATATGGTTCCTGGGCATGCCTACTAGACGGAATAAAGGACATACTGATTTCTAGATCTCTGCATCCTCAGCTAGGAATTCCCAATGTGGAACAGCACAACAAAATATCAGGCACCTGCATATTCTCCTCTGACCTCCTGTGCTCCTGGGATTTGCTGCCACTGATGTAACAATTGAGCTTTTAGCAGAGAATGCCCACACCCACCATGCTCCAGTTTGGTCTACTGAGAGTTACAGATGCACTCCTCCTGTCCCCCTAATCATACTGTCTCATCTCTGTGATTCAAGTCCCAGGAAGTGCTTTGATAGCCTGAGTATTTTCCAATGTTTGGAAAAGTGGCTCCTAGCAGACTTCCTGGCCAGTGAGCAGGAGTGACTTCTAGGTCCTTCCCAGACCTTATTAATAGCTTCATTTTTATAAGCGGAAGTTTTAGACCTCCAAGAGACCTAAGCATTTAAGAGTTTATCACAAACTTCCCCTGGTTTCCCACGCCCCCCCCCCCCTTTTTGTTTTAGTTAGGCTGTTTAATCCAATGACTGCACAAATATTTCAGTTCTTGAGAGTCTGTCCTTGAAATACATACGCAGTCCCGGAGGTACACTGTCACTCCAGCTCCCATAGGCTGGTTTCTGTGTCCATCATAAATGCCTGAGATGATGCCTGAGTTTCCAGTGGTGAGGTTCTAAGGTAATAAGCATGGAAAAATCTCGACACAGTGAGCATCTCACTCTTGTTCCCTTTCCTTACTAGGACACAACTCCCTAATCTCTGAGATTTAAGCAGCCCACAGTGGGCAGAGTTCACTCTCCTGGTGGCGCTCACGACGAGTTTTACCAGAAAAAAAGAAACCCTGATAGGCAAAGGGCCAGGTCTAGGGCTAGGCAGGATCCTAATGTCTTGTTTCTGGGTTCTTCCTTAACCAGCCAAGCGGGACCCTTAAGGATAGTTGCCGCATGTTCAAGCCAAGTTGAAGAGGGGCCTGAGTTGGTGACACACAGGACATCATTATGCGATGACATGGAGTCTGGCCACTCAGCAGCTCCGAGAACACCATTTCCAGAGCTGCCCTGGTCGCTAGTGTGGGCACTGCATTCGCCTTTTTGGGTTCATACACTACCCAACTCTACAATCCAGGAATGCAACACTTCTCTTTATCGCTTAATTGGGTCTCTAGATCCTCTCTGGAGTGTCAGGGATACCAACAGCCTAATAGGCTTTATTTTGTAGACATGTTTTAACCCAGTGTCGCAATTGTCCAGAATTTTTCCTCTGCCAGAGAAGTACAGCAGCGCACCTGCTGTCCCTTACAGTAAACCAGACATCCAGATGGCTCATGTTTGCAGAACAGTATTATTAACACAGGCATCCAAGCTGAGCCAGTGCGTGGAGCTGTGTGGGCTGGCAGAGAGGCCTGCTCCAGGGAGTACAGGAGTACACCTCGCCTCAGGGTCTTGTCTGGACAGTGCAGCTTCACACACCGCTGGAGGTGAACAGATAGTATGCCATAAAACCAAAGGGCAGTTTGAACATGGTTATCTTAATATAGTTATTGTCAACCACATCGTGGCTCATTTGAAATCCTTTCCATTTTTCTAATTTTTTAAAACACCCTACATATTCCTCCAGTTATTTGTACCTAGTCTACAACTTCAGCTTTAGAAAAGGACAGTTGGTGGGTAGCTGACTTGCTGCAGATAATGTTGCTGGGCTCACACTTGGCAGCATTTTGGATCTGTGTCCAAAGCCACCACACTTAAGGGGGAGTGTGTCCCATGAAGAGAGGCAGGCCTAGCTGGCCTTAGTCCAGAATGACCCAGTTTTCAGTTACACGGACATTTCAATGGTGAGTGGCCTCTGAATATTTTAATACGTCTTATCTCCGAATGGGGTTTGGACACCATTAGGAGTGAGCACTTAAAGTGACCCATCCTTTTTCTACATATTCTTGAGTTTTGCTCACTAAAGGGCTTTGCTTGTGTCCTGATGTATTTCATTTTTACAGGGCTGTTTCACTGCCCCATTTGAGGTATAAGAAGAAATGGGGGGAGGAAAGAGTTACCACTATTCAGGATATGAGTGAAAACCTAAATACTGGACAGTCTTCCTGTTAATAAAAATATGATTCAATGTGTTGTTGCATGTGCCTTGGTATAATTTTTTTTACCATATTAGCATGACAGTTATTCTGCACTCAGGCTCTCCCGCTGCCCATGTCAATGAACCTGCACCAACACATCACTATACCCCGAAGTCCATAGTTCACAAGAAAGTTCTCTCCTGGCGGTGAACAGTCCATGGATTTGGGCAAATATATAACATGTGTCCACCCTTATGGTATCATGCAGGACAATTTCCCTACTCTAAAAATCCTCTGTTCCCCACCTATTCATCTCTCACTCCTGTCAACCCCTGGTAATCTTTACTGTCGCCATAGTTTTGCCTTAATAAAATACTATTGCCAGGGCCTCCCCGGTGGCGCAGTGGTTGAGCGCTGGGTTGCGAAGCTGCCTGCAGCCTCTGCGGCGCCGGTTCAATCCCCAGCTGCTCCCCGGCCACCGGAGGAGGGTCCCACATGGCGCGCAGACCTCTCCTGCCGCCTGCTGCTCCCCTCAGCAGTGTACTTTGGTCCTTCTGCCTGCTCTGCTCCCTGCTCTGGCTCTGGTGAATTTTCTCACCCTCCCGCGCTTCTGACTGTACCCAGTGCTTGTATAAATAAATAAATAAATAAAAATAAATCTTTAAAAAAAAAATCCATTAAAAAACAAAATACTATTGCCGGGGCCTCCCTGGTGGTACAGGGGGTTAAGTCTCAGTGGTGGCGCAGCGGTTGAGCGCTGGGTTGCGAGGCTGCCTACAGCCTCTACAGTGCCAGTTTGATCCCTGGCCACCGGGCAAGGGTCCCCCCCCCCAAAAAAAAAAAGTCTCCGCACTATGAAGCTATCCACATCCTCTGCAGCATGAGTCAATCCCCTATCCTCGGCTAGGTAGCTAAAGCAGGCCTCTTTTGTCTCGCCTGCTGCTCCCCTCAGCAGTGTATTTCAGTCAATCTGCCTGTTCTGCTCCCCACTATGTCTCTGGTGAATCTCTCGCCCCTGCATCTCTGGCCTATACCTCAGCTCTTGTATGCATAAATAAATCGTTTCCAAAAAATACTGTTAGTATAACACTTGCCAGTAGTTTCTTCTTTGCAGTTAGTACTATAGTGGTATAGTTAGTACTATAATAGACATTTAAGGTACTTCCACAACTGTTCATGGCTTAATAGGGTGTTTCTTTTTAGTGCTGAATATTACTCTGCTGTCTGCATGTACCACAGTTTATCAGTCCATCTACTGAAAGACAACTTCCAAGTTTTAGCAGTTAAAAAACTATAAACATCAGCAGGCAGGTTTTGTGTGGGCATATATTTTTCAACTCAGTAAAGTACCAAGGAGTGATCTTGCTGGATTCTATAGTAATATGTTTAATTTTGTAAGAAAATGCTACACTGTCTTCCAAAGTGGCTGTACCATTTTACATTCCCACCAGCAATGAATGAATTTCTGTCACAGCACATCCTCACCAGCATTTGGTGTTGTCATTGTTTTGGATTTTGGCCATTCTAAAAAGTGTGTGGTGGTACCTTGTTTTAATTTATAATTGCCTAGTGACATAAGGCGTCGAGCACCTTTTCATATGATTATTTGCCATCTGTATTTCTTCTTTGGTGAGGTGTCTGCTAAGATCTTTTGCCCACTTTTTAATTGATTGTTGAGTTTAAATATTCTTTATAATATTTTGGATAACAGTCTTATACTGAATGTCTTTTGCAAATAATTATTCTCAGTCTGTGGCTTTTAAAGTTATTTATACACTGTATTTTCCATTCTCTACAATAAAACATTATATCATACCATATTTTAATATATTTCCAAGTACCCTATATGAATAGGTGCTATTTAATAACAGCCCACCTTACTTACTTTTTTTTTTTTTTTTTTTTTCTTTTTATTTATTTTTTTTTTTTTTATAGAGGCATGTTTTATTTATTTATTTATTTTGTTTGTTTGTTTGTTTTGTTTATACATGCACTGGGTACAGTCAGAAGCGCGGGAGGGTGAGAGAATTCACCAGAGCCAGAGCGGGGAGCAGAGCAGGCAGAAGGACCGAAGTACACTGCTGAGGGGAGCAGCGGGCGGCAGGAGAGGTCTGCGCACCATGTGGGATCCTCCGCCGGTGGCCGGGGAGCAGCCGGGGAGCAGCCGGGGATCGAACCGGCGCCGCAGAGGCCGCGGGCAGCTTCGCAACCCAGCGCTCAACCGCTGCACCACCGGGGAGGCCCTCACCTTACTTACTTACCGATAGATACCCAAATTGTCCCAGATAGTTCCATAAAAGGTAATTTATAATGACTCCCACCACAGAGAAAAGATTTTGATGCCAAACTCTGAACATGGACTGCTGAGGAAATTTAGATAAAATGAACTTGTAACTCTTGCTTTAAATAGTAGTAGGTACACAGAACTAATGGGATTAAGGAACCATATGGAAAAGGGAAAAATCATAATTTGCTTTATTTGATTGAGGATCTTATAGCACATTAGTCACATTCCTGCTAGTCACAGAGTCTATAATCCACAATCACTTCTCTCTGTGGTCTGATTCCCTCTGTACACACCGCTAAGGGACGTTTTCCCAAGGAAGCAATGCTGCCTTGGAAAAATCATCAGATTCAGCAAGGAATAAGACATTCATTGAAAGTGTTTCCTTGAGACATTGAGGGGATAGCATCAGAAAAACTGGATTGTTTGGGAGCTTCCAGGTTGGGGAACAGGTAATGGTTTGGGGGAGAATAGCATACCCAGATAGGGTATGGAGGGAAAGTTTTTCATTTTTATGAAGTCCGATTTATCTATTTTTTCCTTGTTGCTTCTGATTTTGGTCTCAAATCTAAGGATCTATAACCAATTCCAAGGTCATGAGGATTTACCCTCATGTTTTCTCCTAAAACGTTATGGTTTTAGTTTCTATAATTTAGTCATTAATAAAGGCTGAGTTCGCTTTTGTGTTTGGTGTAATCCAGGGATCCAACTTCAGCACTTTCATGTGAATATCCAGTTGTCCCAGTACCGGTGGTTGAAGAGATTATTCTTTCGCCATTGAATGGTCTTGGAAACTTCGTTGAAAATCAGTTGGATTAAAAGCTCGTTTTATCAGAACCAATTAAATGTCGGAGCTGCGGAGGCTCCCCGCCTCCCGCGCCCGCCCTGGCGTTGGCCGCCCGGGCCACTGTGACCCCCCGCACCGCGGAGCTGGAAATGGACGCCGAATCTCCCTGAACGCCCCGCCCCCCAAAGCCCCCACCAGACTGCGAAGACATCGCAGAGGAGTGTTAGGTTTGTTTTAAACACCCGGGAGATGGCGGGCTGGCATGCTGGGCCCTAGAGACAGTGAAGGCGTCCGTAGGGCAGGAAGAGGGTCTCCCAGCGCGGGGCGGGGCGGGAGCCTACCCTCCAGGCCCCGCCCCCCGCTTGGCCCGCCCCTCCAGGCCCCGCCCCCCGCTTGGCCCGCCCCGCCCGCCTGGCCCGCCCCAGGCCCTCCAGGCCCCGCCCCCAGGCCCACCTGGCCCCGCCCCGCCAGGCCCCGCCCCGCCAGGCCCCGCCCCCGGCCAGCCCCCAGTCGCGTGCTGCCTCCGGGCTGTATCTGAGCCCCCCTCGTCGTCCCCAGCAATTCTGTGGTTTGCCTCTTGCTTGCTCTAGTCAGAACGAGTCGATCTTGACAAAGCGGGCTCAGTGACTGACTGCCCTTCACATCAGCAGGGCAGTGGGCGTTCACTGGCGTCCGGCAGAACCGAAGGGGAATGTGGAGCGGAGAAAGCAAAAGTAAGCCGCGGCCTCCCCTGCGGCACGTGCGCCCGGCGACCGGGGGGAGCGGCCGGCCCGGGCGTGGGCGGGTCTCGAGCGCCGCCGTCCCTCGGAGCCCTCGGGGGCGGGGCGCGCGCGGGTCTCATTGTTGGCGAACCGCAGGGACACGCGAGGGAAGCGCCGCCCGCTTCCTCGGCGCGGAGCGGGGCGGCGGCCCGGGCGCGCCTGTTCCCGGCCCCGGCGCCGCGCGCCGCAGGAGGCCGGGCCGGAGCGAGCGCCCCTGCGGAGGGGGCCGGGCTCCTCGCGCCCACCTGGGCCCCGCAGGCGGGCTCGGCGAGCTTAGAAGGGACGCGGCGGGCGCAGGGAGCAGCGAGGCCTTCGATAGCTCAGTTGGTAGAGCGGAGGACTGTAGAGGGCGTTCCGTGGCAATCCTTAGGTCGCTGGTTCGATTCCGGCTCGAAGGACTTCGTGTGCTCTTTTTAGCCTCCGCGAATCATGGTTTCCGTGGCCAAGAGCTTTACTCGTCGGAGGCCTACGACTCTGTATGCGCGCCGCTGTGCGGGGGACAGAGCCGTGAGGCGGTCCCAGTGCAGTTCTCGGCATTTAGATGAAAAGTAGGTTAACGTGTTTTAAAGTAACACTTTGTTACTACGGTTCACTGTGGCCACTACATGCCGGGCTTTTAAAATCGTGCCCAGGTTCACTTTACTCCGCCAAATAAACGCCCTTGATTATAGTGGCGCCACTGGCCAGCCTCAAACAGCCTGTAAGGCAGCGGGAAAGAACACAGCAGCAGCAGGGGGATTAGCTCAAATGGTAGAGCGCTCGCTTAGCATGCGAGAGGTAGCGGGATCGATGCCCGCATCCTCCACTCGGCTTTTGCCCCTTACATCATCGGGCTTCGCAGGGCGGGGGCTCCCGCGGCGGCGCGGCCGCTGCGGTCCACCTGGGGGCGCGGCGGGCGATGGCTCCCCGCGCACACTGCCCTTTTGCTTCGCAGGTGAGTCTTTTCCAGTTTGCTTTTCGGACACTTGGCCTTTTCCTTCTCGCAGGTGGGAGGCGTTAACCGTTTTCTGGACAGACGCGGGTGGAACCCCGCCGCCGCCGAGCTCGCCGGCCGAGCCCCCAAACGGCACTGGCTCAGACCCCCGCCAACGTGCGAGGGAACCCCTGCGTGCTGACCAATGGCAGCGAGCCTTACTGGGCGGGTGGCCAGCTGTCCCCGCGGCCAATAGGCGAGGGGCTTCTTGTTTCCTGGCAGAGCGGGGTCCCGGCACCGCGGCGCTCGGGTTTTGTTTGGGTCCTGGGAGGAGGGCCCAGGTGCCGGGGCCCGAGGTGGCGCCTCACTAGCGGGAGAGGGAGCGGGAGCACCGGCCCGGAGAGAGGTGAGGGGCCCTGCGCGGAGTGCGGGCCCCGCCAGCCCCGGCCCCGCCCCCTTCTCAGCCCTTTCAGCCCGGAGCCCCCCTGGAATCCCACCCCGCCCCAGGGCCGGCGGCGGGCCCACCCCGCCCCTCCGCCCCTCCGCCCGGGCCCCCGGCCCCCCCCCGGTGGCCTCACCTCTGACCCCGAGCCCACGGTCCCTCCCCTGTCCCTGGTGTGAGTCCGCCCACACCCACCCCGGCCTCGGGTCCCTCCCCGCCCTGGGCGAGCGCGGTCAGTGTTCGGGTCCTTCGGAGTGAAGGGTCGAGAAGCCGCCCCCTCACCTCCTGCACCAAACCCTCTTCAGGGGTGCCTAGGACATCCACTACTCACTACTACCCAGGTAGCTTTTTCGAGGCTCCAGGGCTTCCAGGGCAGGAGGGGGTTGGAAACAGACCCTTGCCTAAGTGGAATTGAACTCATCTATATAGGTGAGCAGGTGAATCCTGCTGTTTCTTTTGGCTCCGCAAAAGCCATGCTTTTCTAGGTTTCTTCCAGACAGAGTAGCAACAAAGGAAACGCCAGTGCTCCCAGGGTTTGGGGAAACCACAAAAGACTGCCTGGTCGGTGCTTGTGAGGGCAGAAGAGTGAAGAGAGGGAGCGGCTCAAGTAAACTTCGAAACTTGGTTCTCTCCACTCTGCTCTGCCGGAGAGTAGGGAGCCAGTCTAGGGACCAGAGATCCAGAACGGCCCATCATGCTTCAAGATGGCCATGTGCCTGCTGTGGGCGAATCTTGGCTGGGTTTGGGAAATCTGACCTCTCTAATTATATTCTCTAATCTGTGGGTTGCAAAGAATCCTAAGAGTTTAGTATTTCTCAACATAGTTAAGCCACTGAGTATTCCTTCTGGAAAAGGCAAGTGCTAGTAAAATAGCATCCTTTCAGAAGTCAGTTAAAAACCTGTAAGTGTGAAGACAGGATACTGATTTCCCTTGTCTACTTTTTCTAAGCCGGAGTGAGCTTCTTGCTGCTTAGGACATACACATTTATCCTGAAATGCCAAAAAAAATACCTTTTCATTTTTCTTCCTTTCCTTCCTTCCTCACCCTCCATTTCCCCCCAGCTCTCAGGGCCAGAGCTGGGCAGGAGGATGCTTTCCCACCCCCACCATGGAGCTGCGCTGTGGGGGATTGCTGTTCAGTTCTCGCTTTGATTCAGGGAACCTAGCCCATGTGGAGAAGGTGGAGTCTGTGTCTGGTGATGGGGAAGGAGTAGTGGGTGGGGCATCAGCCCCCACTGGCACCCTAGCTTCTTCCCCTGACTATGAATTCAACGTGTGGACCCGACCAGACTGTGCTGAAACGGAATTTGAGAATGGGAACAGGTAAGAGGAAAGTAATGGAGGGTGGAAGCAGGAAAGGAGGGGCTGCCCTGTCCCAGATCCATGCTTCATTAGCCCCTTGACTCTCAGTTCATACCAGTGCACCACCTCTGCCCCCACTAAATAGCTCTTCCCCGATGTTGCTTGTTCCAGTTCTTCCAAGTCTCTCTGCAGTATATAACGTCCTGCCCCCCCTGGTTGGCCTGCAGGTCATGGTTTTACTTCAGCGTCCGGGGAGGAACTCCAGGGAAACTCATCAAGATCAACATCATGAACATGAACAAGCAGAGTAAACTGTACTCCCAGGGTATGGCCCCGTTTGTGCGCACGCTGCCCACCCGGCCGCGCTGGGAGCGCATTCGAGACCGCCCTACTTTTGAGGTAAATTCTTCATGAGTAGGAAGGAAAGACTTGGGCGCTGAAGTAGAGGAGGAAAAGGAAAAGGAGTGTACCCTCAATACTGAGCGCGAGGCAGGTGGGCACCAGGCTTGGGTATCAGCTTTTCCTCCAGCGCTAGCCAGAGTCCACGATAAGCTGCTGCTTCAGGAAGCCTTGAGGAGCTTGTTGTCCTCTGGGACGTCACAGTGGGAGGGGAGCTGGTCAGTGCGAGCAGGGTGAGTTCAGTTCCTGGTGATCCCAGCAGGATCTTAGTCTGACACCTGTGGCGTCTTGCCCCCTTTCCTCCTCTGCTCCTCAGATGACAGACACGCAATTTGTGTTATCCTTCGTTCACCGATTCCTGGAGGGCCGTGGGGCCACCACCTTCTTCGCCTTCTGCTACCCCTTCTCCTACAGTGACTGCCAGGACTTGCTGAACCAGCTAGACCAGCGCTTTCTGGAGAACCACCCTACCCACAGCAGGTGCCAGCCCCATTCTTACTCCCACCACAGCATTCTGGACCGCCTAGCCACCTCTGCTACTTCTGAAACTTGCCCTTAGAGCCTTGAAGCAAATTTCATCCCTTCTTTTCTCTGTACAGAATGTGGGACTTTGGGTACCTTTGATAAGTATGTTTCTGTCTGACCTTGATCTCAGCATCCCACAGCTACCCTGTCCTTGTCCACCTGCCCAATTCCAGCATCTTTATATCCTCGTTCTCACCAGTTGTCCAGAATTTAGCCAACACTACTGTTGCCCAGCACACCATTTTTTCTGTCCCAACAGAAGGTAATTCTCGCCATCTTCACAGAGTAACCTATCCTAGAGAGCAAAACCGGGAGAAAACACTAAGTTCATCCTGTCCTGTGTTCTGCATTCTGGCAGTGCAGACCTACCCAAATTCTTGCCTCATTTAACATTGTGAGGGACGGTAGGGCCCCAAAGGTTAGGATGAGGGACCAGGTCCTACAAATCCTGGCCTTGTACCGCCTGCCTAATGGTTTGTACTCCCGTAGCCCCCTGGATACCATCTATTACCACCGGGAAATCCTTTGCTATTCTCTGGATGGACTTCGTGTAGATCTGCTAACAATCAGTTCCTGCCATGGACTTCAAGAAGATCGAGAGCCCCGTCTGGAGCAGCTGTTTCCTGATATCGGCACCCCCCGGCCATTTTGTTTCACAGGCAAGAGGGTGAGTGACAATAACATATTGGCAGCATCTTGGCATCCCCCTGGCTCCAGCACTGCAGTGGTATAAGGCCATGTGGCCTCTAGACATCTTGGACTCTGGCCTCAGCCTACACTGAGGCCAGCCTGACAACTCCCACTCCACTTGCAGACTCAGCCAGCTGGAAACCCAGGACTATTCCTGCCCACCCCCCAATCTACTGTTGAGTGAAACTAGAATTACTGACCTAATGACTGTTCTCCTCTCTACCTCAGATATTCTTCTTAAGCAGTAGGGTACACCCTGGGGAGACACCATCTAGCTTTGTCTTCAATGGCTTTCTGGATTTCATCCTTCGACCTGATGACCCCCGGGCCCAAACCCTACGTCGCCTCTTTGTCTTTAAGCTGATTCCTATGTTGAACCCTGATGGTGTGGTCCGGGGTCACTACCGGTAAGAACCCTCCTCAGCCTTTCTGTATTGGTCCCAGCCTCCCTCATGCCCTGCATCTCAATGAAATGTTATGAAACTCTTCTCTGACTTCTCCGGTATTCCCAGTCCTCGTGTACCCTAACAAGGGCGAGCCCATCTAGTCATGGGTCCAGTGACCTGAAGGGAGAATGAGCCCCTCCAGTGGCTCTTTCTGGAAGGAGCAGAACTAGAATAACTGCGGGTCCCTCCTTAGTTTCTGCCATAGGAGTGAAGCAGATCGGGAGAGGGCCTGTTCCCAATTCCTTTCCTTCATGCAAAGCCCAGACTCTCGTTTTCTAAGTCAATTTCCCAGTCTCCTTTGCTGGCCCCATCTCTAGACCCTGCTTCGGCTCTTACTTTCCTACAGCACAGACTCACGTGGAGTGAATCTGAACCGTCAGTACCTGAAGCCCGATGCTGTGCTGCACCCTGCCATCTACGGGGCTAAAGCTGTGCTTCTCTACCACCACGTGCACTCCCGCCTCAACCCCCAGGCCCCCTCTGAGCACCAGCACAATTCCCATCTCCCTCCTGAGGCCCCCCTTTCTGACCTTGAGAAAGCCAACAATCTCCAAAATGAAGCTCACCTGGGGCACTCATCTGCCGGGGATAACCCGGAGGCCTGGACGCAGACTGAGCTGGCAGAACCAAAACCTGACAGTGTGTGGATTGTGCCACAACAGTCTGCTGAGGTGGAGCAGCCCACCCCCGACACCATCCCGCCCAAAGAGAGTGGTGTTGCTTACTACGTGGACCTGCATGGGCACGCTTCCAAAAGGGGCTGCTTCATGTACGGCAACAGCTTCAGTGACGAGAGCACCCAGGTAGGAATGCAAGGAATGTCACGTGAGTGTGGGAGGTGTTCAGGTTAGGAGACAAAAGACCATGAACAGGGAAGGTGGCCTTTGGCAGGGAGGCCTGCCACTGTGAGAAGCCGCCTCTGAATAACCTTCATGGGGCCAAGAAGGGATGGCATCAGGGCCTCTGATCTCCATCATTACCTTTGAAAGAAGGTCAAGCAGACCCTCTTTTCTAGAGTTTGGGAAACCAGGGAAGAAGGGGGGGTTTGTATTACTGGAGAAGCAGCTGAGAGCTTAAAAACAGGCAAAATTGTACTTTCCATCAGCTGGGAATAATGTGAGGCGTGCAGTGAGAATTTAGGAGACCTTGGCTACTGCTGATGGCCGTGACAGTCTCTGCCTCGTGTCGAGTCACATGGCCCCGTGTGTGCCATCTCTTCCTTGCCCTGTCCCTTCTTTCTCTCCATTCCTCCTCCTGATTGCCTTCTCCTCCAAACAGGTGGAAAATATGCTGTATCCCAAGCTCATCTCCCTGAACTCAGCACACTTCGATTTCCATGGCTGCAATTTCTCAGAAAAGAACATGTATGCCCGAGACCGCAGAGACGGCCAGTCTAAGGAGGGGAGCGGCCGGGTTGCAATCTACAAAGCCTCAGGGATAATCCACAGGTTGGGAGGCAACTGGGATGCAAGCAATGACATACTCCTCTACAGAAAACAATACCCTGTACCCTGTCTGGGGTGCTTGAGGAGTAGGGGGCGGCCCACAGGTTCACGGTTGGTGTGACTGTCTTTAGTCTGGGACTTCCCCTTTTTGTAACTTATGAGTGTGTGCTGTAGGGCAGATGCTAGTTGCCGGGGACTTCCTATTTGTCTTCATTTTTTCACAAGGGATTACTTTTTAGACCACCCATGCTGTCCCCATGGCTCTGTCCTGACTCTGTCCAGGCAGGACTCTGATAAGGATCTCTCTGTCTTAGCTATACACTTGAATGCAACTACAACACTGGACGCTCAGTCAACAGCATCCCTGCCGCCTGCCATGACAATGGGCGTGCCAGCCCCCCACCCCCGCCAGCTTTCCCCTCCAGATACACTGTGGAGCTGTTTGAGCAGGTATGAATAACTGGGATAAGGGTAGGGGGGAAGAACCTCAAATTCTGGGAAGGCCTTCATGCCTGTTGCCTAACTAAAGTCCTCTGAGGAGAGGCTCCCCACTTTGGTTATTTCCCTTTGTGGGCAGGCACAGGCCTCTAACTATAATGGTATGGAAAGGACATTTGAACAGTCTCTTTCTGACCCCCCACTACAGAGCATCCCTAGTCCAGCTGAGTCAGAGTCTTTGCCTCTGAGCTTGTCTTCTTCCATTACTGAGTTTACCCACTCTTAGGCTCAAAGGCACCCCCTGCACAGATGTCCCAGGGCACACAAGAGTAGAAAACCATGGGTTATAGAAGAGATCCAAACACCTACTCCTGGGAGAATTCCTTTCTGGTGCCAGTCAGAATACACAGCCACCCCTATTTTGGTAATTGATGCCGGCCCCCAAAGAAGCCACAGTTTAGGGAACAGCTCAAAATCCACCTGTGATAAACAGACCAGGTACAAAATTTGGGACCGTTCTCTCCTTCCACTGTGCTGTGCACCCCACCCCAACCCAGCAGACCTGGTTGGGAGACCAAGGTGCTGAGCCAAACTGGGCTCCCCACAGGTGGGACGAGCCATGGCCATTGCAGCCCTGGACATGGCCGAATGCAATCCGTGGCCACGAATTGTGCTGTCAGAGCACAGCAGCCTCACTAACCTGCGGGCCTGGATGCTAAAACACGTGCGCAGCAGCCGCGGCCTGAGCAGCACTGTGACTATGGGTGTCACCAAGAAGAGAGGCTCTCGGACTCCACCCAAAAGTAACAAGTAAGAGAGCAGAGGGGGAGGAAAGGTATGGAAGTGGCACAGGGTTCTGGAGCAGGAGTTCCAAGGAAGTGTTACTCCTTTCCTCTTCCCCAAAGTACCACATGATATAAATGCTTCCAGGGTAAATTGAAATTATTAAGATTAGTTCATTTTCTAAGAATGGGATCCTTTTCCCTTTCCCCTGGAACTGTGTACTTCCTAGATATTGAAAATCAGGCGTGGAACTCCCTACTCCAGAGCCCTGCACAAAATAAATACAGCTGTGGTGAGAGTAGGGGGCAGTTTTCCCCATTCACAAATATAATTGTGTATGACTGAGGGGGGTTCCAGAGGCAGGACCAAAGCTGTAAGGCAGAAATTCAGTGGGAGTTAAAGCTGTTGGGGTAGCCCTTAGTACATTTTCTGCAGGAGCATGAAGGCATGAACAAGGGCTTGTAAGCATTCTGAGACCAGCAGGTACCAGCAGGTGTACCAGCAGGTACAACCCAAGTTAGACACCTCAGGAATATGCATTCCTCACTACCCCCATGGAATGAATCCCTAAGTCTTTTCACCCTAAAGGTGAAACTTTACTGAATATCAGACCTAGGAGAAAGAGTTGGGACAAACCTCCCTGGCCCAGGGGTAATTGGCATCTACTTCTTTGCAGTGGATTACCTGTTTCCTGCTCTGAAAATACCTTGAGCCGCACACGAAGTTTTAGCACTGGCACAAGTGCTGGTGGCAGCAGCAGCAGCCAACAAAATTCTCCACAGATGAAGAACTCCCCCAGCTTTCCTTTTCATGGCAGTCGGCCTAATGGGCTGCCAAGCCTGGGCTCTGGCACCCAGAAGGTCAGCCACAGGGTGCTGGGCCCCGTCAGAGGTAAGCCAGTCTGGGGCCCGCTGCAGCAGATGCTCAGTTGTTTGGGGCACTGCTGGGGGGAGTGAGAGCCTGAAGATACACACTTGGTCTGGGACCAAGGGGTGAATCAATAAAACTAGTGTCTAGCAGAACTTGAGGCCTCTCCTGCGATGTTGGTGTTTCCGGCGGCATGAGCTCCAGGGTGGTATTGTGTGTGGCAGAGGCAGGAGTCTTGGCTGTGCGTGCTTCTCTGCTGGGAGGCAGGGGAGTTCCCGAGGATGAAATATTCGCCCAAGCAGGACCACATTGAGAAATGGAGCCTCTGCATCAAGGACAGTGATAGGCTGTCCTGTTGGGGGCAGTATAAAGGGGAATGTTCTCACAGCCCAAGTTGGGCTGAAAATTGTTCCTAGCTTCAGAGCCTATGCAGAAAGTGGTAGCAGAAGGATTCCAGCTCTTCCAAGGGAAAATGAAATAACATAGCTTCTGTTCCATGCATATACGATAGGGCAGTCTGGCCCCTTCCAACAATGATCACAGTTGCTCAACTGTGCATCAGTGCCTCTAGGTTTTGCCCAGTGAGGCCCTGCTTGATAAGAGGGCTTGGGTCAAAATGTGTACCAGAAGCAGATGGATCTTTGGGGAAAAAGAAAAGGAAAGGACTGCAGAGCCATCCCTTGGGAGTGACCTTGACTGTGGTAGGGAGAGAGATTGTTGCAGCCCCACTTCTGGAAGCACACGACCCATCAATCAGTATCATGCGTGGTTTCAGAGGTACGGAAATCTTGCCAAGCATATGGAGTCTTGAACACTGGAGCTAAGAGCTTTACTGGTTTAAAGCTGCACTTGTCCTTGTTAGCACTTCCCTGCTACTCAGCTTTCAACAAAGCTCTTGGTACAGACCTGAAACCTCACTGGGTCTGCAGCTGTCAGTCTCACTGCCTCAGGACAAACAGTGGTCCTGCCAGCTTTGCCAGAAAGATGCTCTCCTCCTGGTGTGCATGCAGTTCCTGTTTACATTCCAAGCCCTCATTTGAGATTCTGTCTGCATTGGGAAAGGACACTTTTGCACACTGTGCTTGAATGAGAGTATTAAAGTAATAATGATACCTTATATTTAAATAGCATTAAATAGTGTATATTTCATTTCATGGTAATGCGGACCCACAGAGGTAGATGGTACTTCCATTTTTCTGATGAGGAAACGGAGGTGGTTTAGGATGATTTGCCCAAGATTGCACAGGGATTGACGGTTATTGAAACTTAATATTCAAATTTCTTCTCCCTATTATTATTGTTGGCGTTTTTTGATCAGCCTCTCATACCTCTTAACTCTTAATAGTTCCTAGAAAGGAAGGAACATCAGCACCCCAAATTCTCCTCTGGTCACAAAAGGGAAACAGCAAAGAGCCTTTTTTAGCTCCTCACTGGAGGATTCTAGGCAGCTTTTAATTAGTGTACTATTAACAGCTCCCCACCAACCCCAATAGAGAGCGCTGTATTAAGAAGTTCCTTGAGTGAGGGACAGGTACTCTGTTTATTTCCCAAGATAAAAACATAAAATAGGCATAGTCAATACTGAATAATTCCTGATCAAATGACTTGAAATTTAATAGAGGACACGGGACAGCGAAACCAACATAAAAACACACAATTAGAAACATAGAGTCTGACCTCGGGACACTGTTGTAGATAAACACACAGAGTAATTAGCTAGAGACATTCAGTTGAGAAATGGTTTTGAAAAGTAGGTGGTGGTATATGACAGCCAAGACCAGAACTACCGGACACAGCGGAAAAACACAAGTAGACTAGCTGTTTCAAAAGGCCAGGTTCTTCACCACGAAAACTAAGAAAGGTAGAAGAAACTGAAATGTCTTGAAAACAAAGATAATGTGTTAACTTAAACATACAGCCAGCCCTCCACATCCGCAGGTTCCACATCTGCAGATTCAACCAATCACAGATGGAAAATACATACTATGTAATTAATTAGGCCTACGATGTCTATATCTATAGTGAACATGTACAAACAGGTTTTCTTGTCATTTCTAAATAATAAAGTATAATAACTATTTACATTGCATAAGGAATTGTAAGTAATCTAGAAATGATTTGAAGAACACTGGCAGATGTGCCTAGCTTATATATCATATTTAGGTATACTTTGTCTTCCAAGATAGGAAAACACAATCCCCAATCTCATAAATCTAACTATAAAGCAGCTATTACTTTCCATACCTAAAATTTGGATTGTGATTTGACAAAGGATTTCTTTTAACTTGTGAATTTATAAGAAATTTCCCACTAATGTGTAAAAATTATATCACATTTAACTACACTTAATTAATGTCAATTCTCTATTAACTACAACAAATCATTAGTTTGGACTATCCAGAAAATAGGCAGCCCAGCCAGGAGCTTAAGGCAGAAGTTCAGGGAATTAGTCTGAAAGGTTCTGTCTTTGGCTAGGGATGACATTTTAGAAAACCAGTGAGTGAGCAGTAATTTTCCTGGGACAGGAGACTGGGAAAGGGTTGCATAAGTCTTGACTTCCAGCAATCCCAATCACAGTGCCAAGGTCCTCTCTACCTTGTTCTTTTCTGCTGCAAAAACGGGCACTCAGGGCACCTCCCCAGACCTGTAGTCAGGCTCAGAAGCAGACAGCACTATCAGCAGCCACTGCTGCAGAGACGGGAAAGGCCAACCGTGAAGTGAGGGAACTCACAGCCTGTGAGGGGCTACTGGCGCAGAAGTATGCAAACACTTGCTGGGGAGAGCGTAGCTATGTAAGCCAAACTCTCCGTCTGTGGTTATGTACTGATGAAAGCAGGGCAAAGTGAGGTGCCCAGGAGACACAATTTAAGAAGGCGCTCACTTGCGGGGTCGGACAAGGCCCTCCTTAAAATGTGCGCCCTTTGTGTCTCATCTGCTTCACCTAGTCCTAGCCCCAATCCCAGCAAGTCTCACTCAGTAACTGAAATGTATTCCCTGGCCCACCAGCCTGCCCAGGGCAATACTAGTATAAAAGGAACTTAAAGGTAATGGCGGGCACCTTCAGCTGTCATCTTACCACCACCACTCTCACTCCCCGACTCCCAACTCTGGCACTTACACCTGAGGTTACCAAAATCTTTTCCTGGCCTCTGTAATGTCTTGGCTCAGCAGGCAGGCCACTTTTGATAAAGCAGCTACTTACAGGACATAGGAACTGCCCCCCATTCTATGACTTAATTTTTCCACTGCAAACAAAAGTTGCATGTTAAATAGCTTAAAACTTGTCTTATGGCAGGAAATGCCTCCTAACACACCTACCCTGAGCACTGCGCCTGGCATTTATTAAGGGATCAGCAAATATCTGCTGGGTGAATAAAAGGCAAGAAGTTGGGAGCCAAATGAATGCTTCTCACATCCTTACCACTCAGGAGGGCATAAATCAGATCTGCAATCACCCCCAAGGATTCAATAAGATCTGGGGTGCTACAGATAGGACAGTTCTAAAAGTGTTTAGGGTGGATGATGTAGGACCTAGGGACAAATGAGAAGAGTGTTCCTCTGAAGTGTGAGGCCTTAGACTACCCACTCATCCATGAGGTCTGTCTAGCTCTACCTCACAGACCTTTGCCCCACGACTATCTTGCCACTCCCGAAATAGAATCTGTAGCTGATTATCATAAAATATCAATTCAATACATCTAGAAGCAGAACTGATAGCCTATCACTCTTGCATTCAAACTTAAGCTGCTTTTTCAGAACCCGAAAATAATAGTTTGGGACCCTCACTTTAATTCTCGTCTCAGTGGGCGCCAAGCAGGCCTAGAGCCAAAAATCAAAACATGAAAAACTGGGTTGTATGCTTACAATGCCGGGTTTACAGGCAGACTTGGCCAGGTCTTTTAAGTGCAGTCTGTAATTAAATGCTTTATATGCTCCAGTTCAGGCCTCCTGGACCAGACCTTGTCTCATATCCTGAAACTAATTAAGGACAGGATCCCTATTTTATCCTTACTATCTTTCCTGTGACCCCTGCATATCACATTGAATTTATGATATCATTTGCCTGTTTAGCTTCCCATCTTCCTTAAGTGTTACTCGATTTCTTACTAGAACCTACAAATGTCCCAAAGGCTTTCACCCTTTTTCACTTATTCTTTCCTGGACTGAGGATGAGGCTTTATCTGTTAACATGATTTCAGCATGACTCTATGAGTAAGTATTTCTCAGATCATCTAGAAACCCACTAGTTCCTTCTCTAACAAGTTCTTATTTCTGCCTACTGTTCACTGTGAATTGGACATTTTAACCAAAGACTTATCCAGGCCTGGGCTTTGTAGTAGTCAAAGTCTAAGTCAACAGTGGTAGGTAATATTTCAGGTTTGACCGTGGCCATAAATCTGACTTCTGTTGTCTTGTTGGCATCACAGTAATTAGTGAAAACAGATTACTAATTACTAGTCCTTTAATCTGTTTTTGACTCTTAGCTATGGTCTTGAGATTGTAATTGGTACCCACCATCTCAGCAAATTCCTCAAAGTAGAGTAGCTTCCATAGTGAGGTCTCTCCCTTTTAGTCCTGTTCATGTATCAATTTTTAAACTTTGGTTTGGGACACTCCAAAGGTATCCTGTTACTACTGGCTACTGCTCATCTTGACTAGCTCAGTGTAGCTACACAAGATGATATTCTTGTCAAGTACTTCCTAAGCTGGAGACTTTTCACATCTAACATGTTGCTTTGTTAGGGATCAGTTCCTTTGAATTCAGTTCCATGAAGGTTAAACTAGCTCATTGGTTTGACAGCATTTGGTATCCGCTGCTGCTCTGTAATGAGGACCTGCCAAGTCTGAAAGCCTCCCTACCCCACCCACTCAGCACCTGCTCCACTGGAAGCCCACCTTTCAGAACTTACAGCGGTGAGGTTCTAACCACATGGACTAGACCAGAGAGAGCTGTCCTACAGGGTATAACTCTTATGTCCTTAGAAATGATCTGTCTGTAGTTGGTGTCTGCTGCTTAGGTAAACAAAGTACTTACTAAGGTCTCTGGTTTTTCAAACAGTATTTTATAGGCATTGGGACATATAGTAGTGGAGAAGACAAGGTCCACACCCTCAAGTTCCTATTAAGAGTATTAGCTAACACTTCCTACTTACTATGTGTGGGCACTACTGTAAGTACTTTACCTGCACTAAATTGTTTACTGGCCAAGTGCACAAAGAATAGTGAATAAAGGAGAATAATTAATTCTACCTGTATGGTCAAGGAGACTGACATGGTGATGGCACATGTCTGAGGGACATGCAAGATGCCCAAGTTTTCAGTAGGGTGAGGAGCAGATACTGCAGAGCAGGCACATAGCTGGCAGCCCTAAGAGCTGAAGCAGAGGGAGTAAAAGATCAGGCAAGCAGCCCACTGAGGATATAGAGAATGGAGCCCCAGCAGACAGCACTTTGAATGCCATGTCAAGAGGTTTGGAGTTTACCCTTTAAAAAACCTTCAGTATCTTCCCCTGGCCTAAGCCAAAGTGATTGTTGATCATGTCTATGTTTTAGAGTAATTTCTGGCACCTTTGTGAAGGATAGATGGTAAAAAGAACCACCAAGTAGGGATTTTTTTCAAAAGCTAGATGAAAAATAAACACATACATCTGGGCATTGACCATGACACGGGAGAAGAAAGGAGGAAGGGCCTCCCCGGTGGTGCAGAGTGTTGACCGCATCGCTAGGAAGCTGTCCACAGCCTCTGCAGCGAGAGTTCGATCCCTGGCCAGCCAAGGAGATACCCACATGGCACGGCAGACCTCTCCTGTCGCCCACTGCTCCCCTCAGCAGTGCTTTTGGTCCATCTGCCTGTTCTGCTCCCCGCACTGTCTCTGGTGAATCCTCTCACCCTCCTGTGCCTCTGGCCTGTACCCCAGCTCTTGTGTAAATAAAATCTTTAAAAAATGAAAAAAAAAAAAAAGGAATTCAAGTGAAAGCAGAGATAGAATTACCAAAACTTGGTGAGACACAAATCTAAATATGAAGGAGTCGAGTTTCTAACATATGTTTCACCAAGATAGGGGGGACACAGGGTGGGAGAAAATGAGTTTTGTTTGGGTGATGAGTGTGCCAGGCAGAAATGTGTAGTGGACAATTAAAACTGCAGTTCAGGAGAAAAGGGATAGAAACCTGGGGAGTTCAGAATGCCAAAAACGGAAAGGTGGGGGAACACTGACTTTTAGGAGGGCAGGAAGAGTAGTTGGAGAGGCAGTTAGAGAAGAACCTAGGGAAGCTGTTTTAGAAGCCAAGCTCAGGAACTTCTTTGTCAGTGGAATGAACTGGTATGTGAGCAGGTTGGTTGGCTACAGAGACGCAAAGGAGGAAGGCTGGCTGGGAGCTGGCTAATGGAATAAATGAGAGTTACTATACACACTAGCTCACTGGTGGGAGCAGAAGAATGTTTGTTACTTTAAACCAGGGACACTGGTGTGATGAAAAGGTTAAAAGCAGGTACTTCTGACCGAGGGGCGCCAGCGGGACAGAGGAGTGACAGTGCCTCATTAGCCTTTTTTTCTGCTTGTGTCCATTCTACTTAGAGCCCCGAAGCCAGGACAGGAGACGGCGGCAGCAGCCGACCCATCGCTCTACTTCAGGCAGCCTGGTCCCAGCCCCAACTAATTCTGGCCCAGCCTCCTCACGAAACATGGGCTCCTGCCTACTGCCCAACACACTCAGCATATCAGGTCTGTACCCACTGCCACTTAAGTCTGTGTTCACCAGCCTCCTTCCTTCCCGACTACCCAGGCTGTTAAACCAGGCTCCTTACTGAGCTTGAAGAAATCCCTTCAGCTATGCTGTCACCTGACCCAGACTTCCTTCTTGACCTGGTTAATGCAGGTCACTCCAGGCCAGGGACATAGTTATCCTCCTGATTATCCTAACTCCCTGTACAGAAGCTGGAATTCAGTGAACACCTTTGTATAATAAAATAATAGTTACCACTTATTGAGCGTTTACTATATGCCAGACATTGCTCTACGCATTGAATCCTCATTTTCATAGTTGAGGAACCTGAGGTCTTTTCCCGCTTGCTACTTAGTCAAGCTTCCTGACTTCAGGAGCTGGCCAACATTAGACAAACCTGAAGAATGAAAAAAAAGCGCAGACCTTTCACCTGTCTTCACTGCAAATATTGTGTGACCAAAAGCTGTTGTCTGCACTGCTTCTGAGTTAGAGACCCATCTGTGTAAAGGACTGGAGGGGAACTGATCAGACTCCACTTCTTCCACCTCCCTCAGAGCCCATCACATCTACCCTGTTTACACTCTCTTCACCGGGTAGCAGTGGGGTAGCCCGCAGTCCACCAGTGGAGGGTACTGCTGACTTAATCCTTGAATGCTTGTAACTTTGAGTGGTATAAGCTCTACGGTCTCTACCTTTTCAGAGATCAGCTTGAGTGGGTTCTGACTCAAGCCCCAAGCTGCTGCTGCACTCCTTGGACCAGATTACTGCATGCTGTGCTTCTCAACCAGGGGCGATTTTGCCCCCCAGGGGACATTTCTCAATGTCTGGAGATATTTCTGGTGACTATAATAGTGAGGGCTAAGGGAAGAAACAGCAACTAACGGTAGACATCTTACAATGCACATTGCTAAACATCTTACAATGCACAAGACAGAATTACCCAGCCCAGCTATCAAAAGTGCCAAGACTGATCTAAAGCTACTGCTACTCCATTGCCCCTTCCCTGATGCCAATTTCTTTTGTTCCTTAGGGAGCAGCTGCTCATTCCTATCCTCAGGGGACAAGTCAGAGGCTGTCATGGTGATTGGGAAAGGTCTGCTAGGGACTGGAGCTCGGATCCCCTGTATCAGGACCCGATTACAGGTAACATTTTGGGGTCTTCCCTGGTCCCCAGCTAACAGCTGTGGTGGAGCCCAACAAGGCACTGTTCATCTGGGTAGTGGGAGGGAAAATGCCCAGCACCGCTTTACCACCTCTCCCAGCCACATCAAGACCTGCTCTGGTGCCTGACTCCAGTGCTCCCCTTCCCTTCAGCCAGGTCTCTTGCTTGCCTCCAACCCATGTACCTGCCAGTTAGACCCCACCCTCAGCCTGCTAGCTTTGCCGGTCCCTTCCCTTAGCTTCTCCTCTCTTTCTGCCCAGACCTGCCCGAGGAGAGTTCCCGCCAGAAGGGGTCCCGGATTCCCCAGGTAACACATGTGGCTGCTGCTCCTAGGAACAGCTATGCAACCAATTCTGACTCAGTCCAGATCCCCATGCTAGATTGGCTGTCCTTGGGTGTAGGCAGAAACTGACTTTATATGGGTGAAGCTTAGCTGCTCTGGCAGGGGCTGAGGCAGCGGCTCTGAGGGAGGTCTACCAATCCTCCAACATCTTTTCACACAGTGCTGTTCTATTCAGCCACACCTGACCCTGAGGTTAAATGCTGGATCCTTTTGCTTCCCCTAGTTAAGCAAGGCTTGGAGTGTACAGTCATAAATGAACCCAGGAGTTCTGTTGTTCTGCCTTACCTTCGCACTAGGGACCGTGCCCAGAAATTAGATTCCAGTACCTGTGTTTACCCCTTTGCTACACTCTTTCTGCATGCAAACTCTAGAAGCAAACTTAGAGGCAAAAAAGTTCATAGAAGAATCCAGCCTCTTAGCTTACCCATGTCCACACAGGCTAGGCCCAGGTTGGGCCGGGGCTCACCGCCGACTCGCAGAGGGATGAGAGGCTCTTCGGGCCCCACATCCCCTATTCCTGGGACCAGGGAGAGCAGTGAGCTGGAGCCGGGACCCTGCTCTGCACCAGGGTGAGCACAGAGTTCAGTCCCTTGCCCCACCTCTCACTTCTAGCTCCTCATTCCCATTTCTGCCTTTCAGGAGCATTTTCTTCCTTCCCTGTTCCGTGACCCCAAGACTAAATGTACTTTTTTGAGAATCTGGTCCCTGATTTATTTTCCCTGTCATGGCCTCAATCTTTACTTCAATGTATAAGAAGAAAACTTCAAGTTTGGGTCTAAGGCCTAGGAGCTGGCTGGTTCCAGCATCAGACCATAGTGTAATACTCAACCTGCCTATCCTTAGCTGTCATCTCCCAGTCCCTGGCTAAAAGATTATAAGAGAGGAAGAGTTTCCACAACCCTGATTCCTCTTTCTTCTCTGTTGCAGGCTGCCTCAGGCCGGGCCCCCACGGCCCCACTCTGCCCCTGCCTTTTCTCCTCTTTCTTGTAGTCTCTCTGACTCCCAGTCCCGGATTTGTTACAGTGGGGGGCCCTTGGGCCAAACTGAGGTTTGTTTTGTCCCTAAGTCTCCCTCGTTTGCTGCATCTCCCCGGGTCTGATGCCTGGACCATCATGCCTAGGATATAATCCCAAGATGGGGAACACAGGGAGAAATGTGCTAGTCTCCACCCTCAGCTGCTGATTCCATGTGACAACGGTACCTCCTTGGAATGCCAGTGATATCATTCTGCTGCATTGCAGAACAGCACCTTGAGACAGGACAAAGCAGGGACTTGCCACCCCTTCCCTCCCTCCACAGCACAAGATTTTGGGACCACAAAAAAATATATCTATATTTTTATATTGGGTGGGGAGTAGAAAAGAAAGCAGCCCCTATACTGGGCCCTACTCAGTGGCAGCTTCTTGTTCCATAGGGTTAAGGAAGACTTTGAGGAAATAAAAGTTGTTTGGAAAAATCCAGGTGTAGTTGCTTTGTATGTTGTGATGGGTAGAAGGGATGAAGTGAAGTGTGAAGGCCCCTCACACCCTCCATCTTGCCTCAGACTATGTCCTGGAACCCTAGAAAAAAGGGGGAAAGACCTGAGGTAAGGAAAATGCTACATCTTTCCTCTGGGGAAATCCTTCAGGAATCCACTCCCATCCAACCTGTTCCCCCTTCACATTTTTGACCCACACCACCACCCCACCTTTCTTCTCTGACTTAGGTCTACAGTAGCCAACCTCTAAATCAGAGTCCTGGCCCCAGAATATGGAAATTCTTTGCCTTCATGCCCCCTCACCAGAAAATTTGGTGCCTAAATAAAAGCCTAAACTTTGGGAAAGTGAGGGCTATTTAAGTGACCAGCCCATATTCTCCGAGTTGGATGGCCGCCTCAGTGCCTTTATTCCTACCTGTATCAGTGCCTCCTTGAAGCCATACCCCCAACTTGGAAACCTGGGGAACACATGAAGATGGGACTGAGGGGGATTCAGAATCCCACTCCCATTCTAGCAGAGAGCAGCTTAAGAGGGAGAGCACTGCAAGGCGCTCCCTACTCTGCAGATAAAGGACCTCAGTTCTTGGTCCGACACTTTCTGATTTGAAGTTTCGAACCCTGCCCCCCTGGCGCGGCCTCGCCACTCCACTCTCCGGGGCGCTACGACCCGGACCGTTACCTGGGGCGGAGAAAGCGCCACTTTCATTCCTGTTTCTTGGGGTTGTTGACAGCCACGTAGTGATAGAGAACGACAAGCAGGAAGAGCGACACGCCCAGCATGTTGGCGAAGATGGCGAGCTGCACGTCTGTGATCATCCTGCGGGGAAGAGGAGGGACTGAGCCTCCGGCGACGCGCTCCTCGCCCCGGCCGGGCCCGTCCTCGCTCCCGGGCCAGCCACCGCCGACCGGCGGGTGGGCCGCGCCTGCGTGTCGCTCACCTGACCGGCTGGGCTCGGCTCCGACGCGGTCTGCGCACCAGCTCGAGGTAGTAATCCCGGGCCGGAAGTGCAGAGCGCCAGCTCCGCCCCCGCCAGTCGCTTCCGGCCGTGCGGCCCGCTCGGAGGGCCCCTCTAGCCGCGCCGTCTCGCCTGCTCGGCGGGCGCGCTCGCCGGGGGCGGGGTCCGGGCCGCGCAGCTGGGGGGGCGCGCGCGCGCTTTGATCCCGGCGCGGGCAGCTGGCGGCAGCTGGCGCGGGCCGGGGCGCGGCGTGCGGCCCCGCGTCCGCCTCCCCGGAGCGGAGGAGCGGCTGGATAAGGGTGCGCGGCGGGCCGGGGTGGAAAGCGCGGCCTGACCCCGAAACTCCCGCCCTCCTTCCTGCTCGGCCCCCCGCGCAGCTGCCCACCCGTCGCTTCCCGGCCCGGCCCAGCCAGGTGCTTCCTTTGGGCCCCGCCCTCGGGGTCCCCTCCCTGGCCGGGGCCCCGGGGAGGCGGCTGCGGAATGGCGCCGAGTGGGGACGTGGCCGGGCCGGCGGGGTGCCCCGCTCCTCGGAGCCGGCCGCTCTGCCCCGTCCCGCCAGGCGCGGCCCGAGCGAGGCCTCGCTCCCCAGGCGGCTCCACGCACCCCAGCCCGGGGTGGGCGTCGGAAGTAGGGCGGACCCTCCCGGAATCAAACCCCAAACTGTGGGACTGCGGCCAAGTGGGAAATCACCCCCCGGATGTGAGGGAGGAGAGGGGAGGAAGGGCTGGGCCCGCAGGAGGGTCTGGGGTTCGGAGCCGAGTGTGCGGCCCAGGGGGGGATAAAGCTTGGGTAGACGTGTTATAGGACAGGGAGAGGACGTGTGAGGGGCTCTGGTGGGCAGGGAGTCGCTCACCGACTGCAGCTCTGCCGGCACAAACCTACTCCCCGCCTCACTCCTTGCTTTTCCTCGCCTTCACCATAAAAGGGAACGGCGTTGAGCCAGTCTGGGACGGGCGGGCGGGGGCTGGGCTGCTGCTCTGGAGCTGTCAGGGGTAATGGAAGCCAGTTGCTTTGCGGTAGAGGGGGGCGAGGGCTCAGGGGACGCCTCTGCTTCCCTGAGCCAAGGAAAACTAGAGGAGCTGCTAGGGGACTGGAACAGCTGGGTCAGGGGACCAGCTTGCCCGTGGGTGCACAGTGGTGTCCCCGTGCCCTGGCCCAGAGTGGGCCCTGGCCTGGGCGGGTCAGCTGTGTGTCCTCCGTGTAAGTGCAGTCTCTGCCTTTAGCAATCTATCCCTCCCCTTACCTCCCCTGCCTCATCCCCAGTGTTTCCCAGAAGTTTCCTATTCAAAATCCCAAACCCGTGTCCCCCCATGTAATAGTGAAACCCAGACATACATTCAATCATGAGTCCATGTCTAGGCCTTAAAGGATTACGCACATGCTTTGTGTCTCCTGGAAATGAGAAGCCAATCCAAGCCCAACCAGACACTTAGGTCTACTGCTGACACAGAACTAGAGCTGTAGACCCAGACCCTGGGAGCAGACTTCTAGACTACGGACGTCTGAAGGAAAGGTCCTGGAAGAGCCTCCAGTTTCAAAGGCTGTCCTGAAACCAGCTGACCAGGTGCATAGCGTCCTGGACGGCCAGAGCTGAAGGGGATCTTTCAGATCATTTTGTAAAGATGGAAACTGAGGCCCAAACAGCCACAGTATTGACCAAAGTTCTACAACTAGTGAGAGACCGTGTCACTTGATTTTTCTAGTCCATGCACCGTGTTAGGCTGTGGGCTCAATAGGTTGTCCTGGGGCCAAAGATAAGCTGGAAAGGATTTGTTTTAGAACCACCCAGAAATGTCCTTCATAGAACATCCTGTGCCTAGGTCAGCGAGTGTTTATCAGCCTTGAAGGGGTCATTGGCCTAGCGTCTAGAGAGAACTGAAACAAACAATGGTCTCCAGGACTAAACTAGACTTAGCTAAGAGCTAGCAAAACTTGGGTGGAAAAGTATGTGGAAAATGAGGCAAGCAAAACCTCATCCTGAAGGGAATGGGGGATGGGCATATGTGGAGCCTGATCTCTGTGATTAGTGTGACATTTTCAAGAAGACGTGAGGCCAGGACTAGACTCCGGAGTGAAAAACAAGACCTGGGAAATGGGAACTGAGCCGAGTGCCGGAAGGCTGGCTCCTAGGTTACCTGCGGGAAGGGTTGGAAGGTGTTAAAATTCAAATGAGTGAATTTAAAAGATTTTACTGGCTTTGTTTGAGGATTCATGACTAGGACAGAGTCCCATCTAGCACAAAGAAAGGAGCACAGAGGAGCTAAAGGAGAAATTTTTATAGGCAGAAAGGAATGGACACAAAGAAGTTATAATAGCAAAAAGTGGGTTGATCTTGGCAAGGTCAGTTTCCTTTAGGGGAGGCCAGGGGTCTTATCAGGTGACCTCATTAGTGCTGATAAGGTGATTCCTGATTGACTGATTAAAGATTCTGTTTCTGGGAGAGGCCAAAACTATAACTAGATCTCAGTTTGGTTTGGTGACAATAGTGCTTAGCAGAAGTGACTCCATTTTGGGCCTATGGTCTTGTTTTTAACAAAGGGAAAGGAAAATAAATGCATTTGAGCAGGAATGGACTTCTCCTAAGGAGTCCCCACAAACTAGACTTCCCATCTGGGTTTACATAATCCAAAATCTAATTCATATTATTCCCCTTCTGTGCTTCCCAATATTCAGTCCTCTGTCAGAGGGTGTTAGACACCCTAATTGCTGGTGCCCAATGGCTGTCCTGGTCCCAAGCACATGAGCTCATGGCTTAGTCAGAGACGGTTGAATGAATGAGTTAGTTGCATAGTAGAGCCACGATTTCCCATTGGCACTAGATCCTTGGAAATCCCCCATCTTGGAAAGGTTACAAAACAGATCTTGTCCTCATGCCCCAGGGACTTGGGATTTTTTGGCCACAGGAATTCTCTTGCCAATGCTTTGGAAATTTGTGGCTCCCTACCAATACCACCAGCAGCAGCACTACCCCACCGCCCCCTAGCACCACCACCATCATCCCTGCATTCCCTCTTAACCTTTGTCTCCATCGTAGGCTGCTTGCCCAACGCCTCAGGCCTCCCCAGTGAACCCAGGGCCACTGACTTATTTGAGATCTCACAAACATTCTTGTCCTTACATCTGGTTCCTCATTACAGAAGTAAATGACATGCAACCTACTACAACTGTATTTCAAAGCCAACATTTTTGATTCAACACACGTGAAATATACACCAGATTTTTAAACATAAGGGGGCAGGCAAAAGAATAGGTGACAACCGGGAGGTGACGAGGTGGCTGAAATGACTTCAGGTTGCCAGAGGCAATTGTAGGGACTGAAGAGGGGGAGGAGCAGAGAAAGAAAACCCCTAGCAGCAGCTAGAGCAACCAGGAGGAGAAGTAGGTTGGCTTGCCGCCAGGGCCAGGGCCAGGGTCTAGAATTAATACAGAGGCCAGGGACAAAACTGCAACCTTCTACTGACTGCAGACTTTGAAGTCAGCATCTTCCATGGGTACATGTGCCTCAGTCTTCCTGTGTGCTCATCCTCAGACCTTTAAGGGGCAGCCACAAGTTTCCATTTCTGTTAGTTCCAAAATTTACTTTAACTTTCACCCTATCTTTCCGCCAACATTTCTCCCAGGCATCAGGGTCCAGGCCATAGAGGCAGATCAGACAGAGGCAGAGCCAGATCACTGAGTCACATGGAAGATTTGGTGGTGTCCATTCTCATGGTTTCCAACTCTTGCCCTGCAAATGGTTCCCTGAATCACAAACCCCCCACTCCCCTCTAACCATCTTCTGGACTTGTCTTTCCATTGTCTTGTATGCCTCTCATCTTAAAGGCAGTAGGTCCAAACTAAGGTCTTTTTTCCTTCCAAACCTTCTCTTCTGGACTTCCCCATCCAGGCTGAAACTCTGGCATCTCCTCTGGTGAGCCACTTCATTTATTATCCAGTGGTTCATGGCCTTGTCTTCCTTCCCACAGTCACCGTCACCTCCAGAGTCCAAGGCTGCCTCACAGGAATGTGGAAGGGACCTTAGACAATACAGACAGCAGGCTCCCACTGAGTCAGAGAACGTGTTACTAAGAGGAGCTCCTGGTGCCAGCATCCTTGTGCCCTAATACCCTGCCCTTTGCTCTCTCCAACAGCAGTTTCTTTCCGCATTTGTGTGGACCCCTTACTCCACTTGTACCAAAACTCTTAGTCTTTTAAGCCTTTCCCTGATTTTTCCACAGTCAATTTCTCAGATTTGCTGTCCCCCTTCTTGCTGAGCTGACTTTTTTTTTAAAGATTTATTTATGCTTACAAGAACTGGGGTGTAGGCCAGAGGTGCAGGGGGTGAGAGACAGAGCTGGGACCAGAACAGGCAGATCTACTGAAATACACAGTTGAGGAGAGCAGTGGGTGAGATAGGAGAGGTCTGCTGCACCATGTGGATCAGCTCCCTGGTGGGCTGGGGATCAAACTCGTGCTGCAGTGACTGGTGATAACTTGATAGCACTGTGTCTTTAAGCCCTGCGCCACCAGGGAGGCCCCCAAGCTGACATTTAGTGGAAATCTATCACATGCCAGCACTATTTGAAGTGCTTTCCACGTAGCTAATTCCTCACAGGTCCAGGTAGGAGGGTACTGTTATCATTGCCTCATTACAGATGAGGAAACGAGACCCACCACTTTCCCAGCCTGCAATCACTCCCCTCCCCTTCCTTGTCTCTATTCTTCACTTCTGCACCAACACTGTTCGGTTTCTGTCTCTTCCAATAATTCTTCTCTGATACCCCCAGAGAAGGACAACCAGCTGTCTTCCCTACTTACCCAGAACACATCACGCATTTGTCCAGCCCCCTTGGCTCTCTGTCTCTTTTGCCTTGTGCTAGTTCTGTCTGCTTTCTCAGCAGCCCTGGCTGCTCCTCACTGCACTGTGTATATGTGCGCATACACACGTCTATACACACACTCTTGCTACCGGTGCCTCTCCTACACCTGGCACCCAGCACTCTTGGCTTCTTGCTGGTTCGTTTGGTTTTTTAAAAAAGATTTATTTATTTATGCATACGGGGGTACAGGCCAGATGTGGGGGCATGAGAGGATTCA